CGAGGAAGCGGGAGCAGGCGGAGGAGGAGGAAAAGGAGGAGGGGGAGGAAGAGGAGGCGGAGGAGGAGGAGGAGGAGGAGGAGGAGGAGAAGGAGCAGGAGGAGGAGAAGGAGCAGGAGCAGGAGCAGGAGGAGGAGGAGGAGGAGGAGGAGGAGGAGGAGGAGGAGGAGGAGGAGGAGGGGGGAAGGAGGAGGAGGACAACGAGACGAAGGAGGAGGAGAAGCAGGAGGAGGAGCAAGGCGAGGACGATTAGGTCGAGGAAGAAGAGGAGGACAAGCAGGAGGCGGAGGCGAGGGACGAGCAGAAGGAGGTGGAGGAGGAGGAAAGAGGAAGGAAGATTGGGGAAGACGAGAAGGAGGAGAAGGATGAGAAACAAAGAGAATGAGGAGAAGGGAGCGGAGGAGGAGGACGAGGAGGAGAAGGACCGGTTTAAACCCAAGAGTCATCAACGATGTTGGAATACACCGTCCCTCGAAGCTTCCTCTTCATAGGCCCCTACAACGGTTCATTTCCATTGAAGCAACGGCCTCGTTGGAAGACAACCGTTTGAAGACCCTGAAACATGCCAAAACATTGCGTTCGGGATTCCAACGCCGCAGATCGACCTGACTGTTGCGTCTGGACGATACGATGTCGCGCCAAACACAATTGGAGATGCTTACACCGCGAACCAACAGAATTGCTGCGAGACTCAAAATCCCTAATCCGTCCAAAAGACAATGTGTTGTACGCTGTTCAGGGAAATCCGTGAAACTCTTATTATATAAAATGAGCGCAGCGCCAAGGCGAGAGCCACATGTTGAGAAGGACTCGCCCTCAAAAACGAATGTGCGCAGCAGCGCTAAGGCGAGAGCCACATTTTGAAAAGGAACCACCCTCAATCCGCGAAGCTCTTAAACTAATGTTCAACGAATGTGCGCGGCGCTAAGGCAAGAGCCACATGTTGAAAACCAGCCGCCTTCAATCCATGAAACGCTTGCACTTTGTTTTACCGAATGTGCGCGGCGCTAATGCGAGAACCACATTTTGAAATCGACCCGCCCTCCATATGTGGAACTGTTTCCACTGTTTGAGCTTCAAAATGATGAATGGTGAGGAAGTCTGAGGCGAAACGCCCGGCCCGCCCTAAAAACTAGCCCCAGGGTGCGACAGGGAGAAATTAGTTGCAAGGGAAAGGAATGGAAAGGGGGGGGAGGAGGAGGAGGAGGAGGAGGAGGAGGAGGAGGAGGAGGAGGAGGAGGAGGAGAAAGAGGAAGGGGTGGAGGAGGAGAGAAAGAGGAGGAGGAAGAGGAGCAGGAGGAGAAACAGGAGGATGAAGAAAAGGAGGAGGAGGAGGAGGAGGTGGACGAGGAAGCGGAGGAGGAGGGCGGGAAAGAGGAGGAAACAGAGGAGGAGGAGGAGGAGGAGGAGGAGAAAGAGGAAGAGGAGGAAGCGGAGGGGGAGGAGAAGGGAGGGCGGGGAAGAAGCCGAGGAGGAGGAGGAGGAGGATAGAGGAGAGAGGAGGAAGAGGGAGGAGGACTTGCTTCGCCGGCCAAAAACACCTGACCCGAGCAATGGCAAACGCAAGAGAGAGCCACCATTCAAGGGCAAGGGACAAAACGGAGCCCGAGGACACCGCGCGGCTTACGCGAGCAGCCTGCACCAAAGGAGCATCGCCCTCCTCTTGGCAGAATGCGTCTCGCACTACGCTGAGCTGATCACTGGGCTTCACAATGCACGCCAGCATCGACATACAGCAGGCAAATATCATGATTGTGCTCCGCGACGAACACGAACAGGCCGAGGGAGAGACAGTACGCAATCGTGGCATCTGTGGCGGGCTCCGTCGAAATTCCAAGCGAAAAAAACACACTAAGCGATCCCAACGAAATATTCGCACCGCGTGTCAGGAAGCACCTCGAGGGCCACATGCGGCAGGAACCAGACAGAATAAGATGGCCTAGGAAGGCAGAAGGCCCGAGCCGCCACTGAATGCTGATAATCATGCCTGCACCATACAATTCGATCATCGACATACGTTGCGCCCGCTCTGGGGGGGAAACAAAAAAAAAAAAAAAAAAGAAGGAACAAAAAACGAGAAACACATGTCAAGGTCCCAATGTATGCACGAAACCATCTGCATGTCCTCCCGTGTGAGCTCACCGCAGGCGCTGCGCTCCGAATCTGACCCCCAGGAAGAGGAGCCTCCGTAACGCCTGGCCCAAGCAGGCATTGGTTCAGGGAGCCTGCGGTCCTCGCCGAAGGTGACCCTGTCGGAACTCTGGTTCCGAAGGCGAAGAGCATGAACCAGCAACCTCCTCCTCCTCCTCCTCCTCTCCTCCTCCTCCTCCTCCTCCCCCTCCTCCTCCTCCTCCCGCCTCCACCTCCTCCTCTCCCCCTCCCGCCTCCGCCCTCCTCCGCTTCCTTCCTCCCTCCTCCTCCTCCTCCTCCTCCTCCTCCTTCCCTTCCTCCTTCCGCTCCTGCCTCTTCCTCCTCCCCTTCTCCGCCTCCTCTCCGCCTCCGCCTCCGCCTCCGGCCCTCTGCCTCCGCCTCCTCCTCCTCCTCCTCCTCCTCCTCCGCTCTGCTCCGCCCGCCTCCGCCTCCGCTTCCGCCTCTTCTTTTTCTTCCTCCTCCTCCTCCTCCTCCTTCTCCTCCTCCTCCTCCTCCGCCTCCTCCTCCTCCCGCGGACGGTCGACAAAAAGCGAGACGGCACGCCTGTCTTGGCGCAGGTCCCGCCCTGGGCCCAAGATCGGTGCGTGCGCCCTCCTATCGTGGCTCTTATGACCCGGGTCCGTCCAGGCCCAGGCCCGTTGGGCCTTGCAGGATACGGCAACATCCTGCATGATCTCCTGCAGGATCCTGCAGCACCCCGACCAGGAAGAGGAGGAGGAGGAGGACGAGGAGGAGGAGGAGGAGGAGGAGGAGGAGGAGGGCGAGGAGGAGGAGGAGGAGGAGGCGGAGAAGGAGAGGCGGAGGCGGCGGAGGAGGAGGTGGAGGAGGAGGAGGAGAGGAGGGAGAGGGAGGAGGCGGAGGAGGAGGAGGAGGAGGAGGAGGAGGAGGAGGAGGAGGAGATGGAGGAGCGGGAGGAGGGGCAGATGGAGGAACGGGAGGAGGGGCAGGAGGAGGAGAAGGAGGAGGAAGAGGAGGAGAAGAAGGCGATCCTGATTCGGGAACGAAGCGGCGCCTGCGCCGCTCTGGGACCAGCGCGGCGCACGCTCGGCGCGCCCGCCGAGGGAGAGCGTGCGCGCCCGCCGAAGAAAAGCCGTCATCGTCGCCGCCGTCGCCGCCCGTCGACCGTCGTCGCTATTAGTCAACGTCGCCGTCGCCTTCGTCCGCCTCCGCGGCGCCGCCGTCGTCGACCATCGCAGCCGCCGTCGGTCGCCGTCGTCGAGCCTCGTCGGTCGCGTCGCCGTCGTTCGCAATCGTCGGCGTCGGCCGCCGCCGCCGTCGTCGTCGAACGTCGTCGGTCGACGTCAGCGGGGCGGCGCGACCCGCTGCGGGAGCGTACGCCCGCCGAAGCCGCCGCCGCCCGCCGGGGCGTCCCCGCCGAAGCCGCCGCCCGACGGGGCGTCCCGGCCGCCGCCGCGGCCCCGCCCGCCGCCGAAGCCGCCGCCGAAGCCGCCGCCTCAGGGGGGAGGGGGGGGAGAAGCCGCCTCATGTGGGCTCTCGTGGTCGCCTCTGTGCGCATGGGTGTACTGGTGGTTTATACGCTGTCGTGAGGTCGGTAGCAGACTTCTCGGAGAACACGTACACTCCCCTTACTTCGTGCTCTCTATCTACACGCGCATCGAATTATGCCTTGCTCTCCTGGTTTTCCAGGCTCCAGTTGTTCCTGCAATACACCTTGACGACGAGGGATAGGCACAGGAAGGCCGCGTGCCACGAGCGGCGAACGTATCCATGAAGACGCCCTCGCGGCCTGGACTCCGCCGTGGCAAGATCCCACGGACGCACGTTCCGCGCGGGGCGTCTGCGAAGAAAGCCCCGCATCCGCGGGGCCGCGGCTTGGGACCCTGGCCCGCGAGGCCGCGGATATGGACGTGCGTCTTGCCCACGAGCGGTGACTGCTCCGGGAACCGAAGCAGTCCCCGAGTGGGCAGACCGTGCACACGCGACCCAGGGGAGGAACAGGAGGAGAAGGAGGAGGAGGAGGAGGAGGAAGAGGAGGAGGAGGAGGAGAAGGAGGAGGAGGAGGAGGAGGAGGTGGAGGAGGAAAGGGAGGAGAAGGAGGAGGAGGAAGAGGAGGAGGAGGAGGAGGAGGAGGAGGAGGAGGGGGGGGGGGGGGGAGGAGGGGGAGGAGGAGGAGGGAGGAGGAGGAGGAGGAGGAGGAGGAGGAGGAGGAGGAGGAGGAGGAGGAGGACGAGCAACGAGTGCGATCAGAGGGCGCGAGGGCTTCCGAGGAGCCCCGCCGCCTGCCGAGAGAAGGCCGGCACCGAGCTTTTAGCCCCCCGCCCTCGCGCCCACTGCGCACTTGCGTGTAGCATGGCGTGCAGTGGGGGCCCGACCACAAGAAATCGTCCACAGGAAACCCAACCCTGAGACCCCAGGACGCCCATCGATGTTTAGTGTGGGCACGTCACGCTCTCCATCGCAGAACCATCGAAACCCAAGAAACCCAGGGCACCCTGGAGGCAAGCAGGGTGTGTCTTGGCATGGGTCTCCACTGGTATGGGCTGCCTGATTGCCGGCCTGATGTTTGCACGTGGGTGCTTTCCGTGCCGGTGCGCCGTCTAGGCGCGGCCTGTCTCTCCCTCGCGCGCCGCGAAACATACGCGCCAGAGGTCCCTCCAGCGAAAGGCCACTGCTGCGCGTGGCCGGGGAGAGGGCGCTGCAGTCCCGCGGCGTTCCTCGCGGGGCCCTCCTCGGCCCTCTTGGCGGCCTCCTGCGGCACTCTGGGTGATGTCTTTTTCTTTCTTTCGACAGAGCGTGGGCCATGGCCCGCCCGAAGAGTCAGCGATCTAAAGTCAGGAGGGTAACAGCGCAGTTACCAGCCACCGCAAGCCCGCTTCTAATGCCAAGGCCTCGGCCTCGAACGCCGATGCGAGCCCTTGAAACGGCACCCCTTCTCTCCATGCCGTGGTGTACTTGTACCAGCCTGTGTCCCCGTCCCCGGAGGCGTCGAAGACAGCGAAACCAATGGCGCCTTCGCCGTTGCGCCGTAGGCCGCCGTCGGCACACAAACGCAGGCTGCGGTTGCTAATGCCATCCGCGGGAAGCCCGGGGACATTCGACCATGACCGTTGCTCGTCCAGCGCTGCATACACGCAGTGGTCGGCGATGGCGTTGAACTCGCGCGGGGCCCACAGGACAAAATCCAAGGCGTCATGCAGAGGCCGCATGCCATGCGAATGTAGTCGGAGAATCATGTGCGAGATACGCCGGAACACTGGCACGTGACGATCCGATCGAATTTCTGCGCGTCCGGCCAACGTCTCCGCCAAGGCCGCACAATCCACCTGAATCCAGAGGCGTCCACCCTCCGTTTGCCAGGCATTGTCCAAAGGGTGCGGCTGCATCATCGGCGGCTGGATCACCACGGCGGGCTCCCGCGGAGAATCCACGAATCGGAGTTGAGCGGCGCCTCCGGCGCATTCTCCAGTGTCTTCCGCAACTCGCGGGAGTTGCCATGCAGAACACAATGTATCTATGAACATGTTACACCCCTTCATCCACTCCGCCTCTGAGTTGTGAGAACCCCGGTGTAGTCGCCAATGCACCCCGTAAACATGCGCGAACGGCGACTCCCAAGAGAGCTTCTGTTGACCGCCGTGGGCGTGGGTGCTGTCTTGGGAGCCTCTTGGGGCCATCCTGGGGCCCCTCGGGAGCCGTCTCGGGGCCCTCTGCGGCCCTCCCGGGGCCCGCGGGGGCCGTCGTCGAGACTGCGGCGGCCCTCCATGGCGCGCCTCGTCCTTCTGCCTGGCCCTCCCGGAGGCCTCTCGTCGCGACGGACGGCTCGGGGCCGAGAAGCCAGCGAGGATGACCCCGTGAGGGTTCTGGGGATCGATCGTCTCCGGCCTCGAGCAAGCCTGTGTTGATCTGGGAAGGCCAGCGAGCCTGCCTCGCTGTTGACCGCCCTCGCTCCCAAAGGATACCAAAAGATGCCAAGCCACGGCCCGCACCAATCGGGCCGCTTGACGAGGAGGCGCGTGGTATGACTCGGTTTTGGGAGGAAGGGGAAGCGGGGTCATTAGGTAGTGAGTCGCGCTCTTAGAAGAGAAACAATCAACATAACTGTTGGCGATCCGCGCGAAGCGCTCAAAGTGTATGTCTACGGCGTTTTTTATTTTTCGAGATCTGATTATCGCTGCCAACACTGGACTGGCTCCCAAAATATGCCATCTTCGATAACAGGGGGGGCTATCAGCGACCACGAGACGGCACGCTCCCGCGGGCGCTGGCGGACTCCCGCCGGGGATCGATCTCGAGCGGATTTGAACCAGGCGGAGCCCTCCTCCGAGTAGAGGAAAGTCAGGAAGGGAGGGATTACCGCCTCTTGGTCCGAGGCGGATGCGCGGACGAGGGGGGCCAGGGGATAAATAGAAAGAGTTGGCGGCGCGCAGAACGCGGTAGTGGAAGGGTGAAGGATTCTTAGAAGCAGGGGTGCTTCTAAGAAACCTTCCCCCCTCCCCCTACCCCTCTGCGCGTGGCCGAAAGAGGGAAACGGAGGCATGAGATCTGAGAGGTGCCATGGCCCTGGACATGACATCCACACACACACACAAACACACACACACACACACACACACCAATCCCCTCCTTCCTTTTTCGGGCGCCGCCTAGCCGACCTCTAGCAAACCATCCACTTCCGTGACGTCATCCTCGCACTTCGAACTCCCATCCGGCCGCTTACATATGTCTTGGGGCGAGGCGAGGGGGACGTCACAGAAGGGGATGTTTTGCTAAGGGTCGGTTGGGCCGCCCCTGACTCTTAGGACGGCCCCGACTGCTCGGAACACACACTTTGGTGGAGGTCTTCGCGGGAACGACCGACGGCTACCGACGAGTGGCGACTCGGCTGGGCAGCTCGATGGACCCTGCCTCTCCGCCCCTCCCCCTCCCCGCAGCGGCTGCGGGCCATCGAAGCCGCCCTCCGCTGGCTCGCGGCCGAAGCCGGCGCCGCCGCCGTCCGCGCCGCCGTCGGGGCGCCCGAAACCGGCGCCGCCGCCGCGGCCTGCCGGGCGCGGGAAAGGGGCAGGGCGACG